GTAATTAGTCGGGTTATCTTGATTAGGCTATATTGTTTAAAAATCGGTCAGATGTAAAATTAAATTACCATTTAAATGTCGGGTTTTTAATTTGTGTTAAGACTGAATACGCATAAAACTTTAGCTTAATTTACTACTTAACTGAAAACACAAACGCTTAATACGACGCGATTGAGTTTAACGCACGAAAAAACGGCAGAATTAGAGCTTTGAAAGCTGATATTCATTTGTGTGCATCATAGGTTATTCTTAAGTTCTGAAACTACTTACATTTAACATGTCCAAAGCGTCGTTTTTCAGTAAAAACAGTTTGTTCGAGCTTGACAGCAGAACGGGAATCGACCGATAAAATCTGAGCCAAGCAAAAACGAGTATGTTTACGACTTACGAGGTTCGACCATCAATTTCGCCATGAAAGCAAAATAACATTGCAGAAATATTCCTTTTTAGCCCGTTATTGCCGTCAGTTTCAGATACCACGTCGGTAAAGTCTATTTACTTTTCGAAATGCTTACGCGTAAGTTCACGCGTAGTTCCAGCTCAGCTTTACCATAACAACACTTCGTTTGCGCATGTGATCAAAACAAGCCAATGAACAACCTCGTTACCAGGATCCTATTTAATCGTTGTTTAGTATCCATAGCGACAAATAAACAAGTATAAATATTGGTTCCTTGACATATCTCGCTCATTGATCGCGTGTTAACGACGACTTAAACTATGGCTTATGAAATCGGAAAATAATGCCAAGGTCTTCATGACGGTCGATGGTATCTATGCACCATCTTAAGTCAGGAAGACGACGGGTACGAGGTCACCTTCGATGGTTGGAGCGGACAGTTTGACGCAGTTCTCAGCGCCGACTGTGTTCAGTTCGCCCACGTACAACGATTGACATTCGCACCAGGAAGCGTTGGAGACCCAGCGTGAACTTCAACAAGTTGCTGCCAGGCGACGAAGTTTCAATCAGTGTCGAGGGTATCAGAAAACCGGCCGTAATCAGAGTGGTGGATCCTTTCCAAGAACTCCTTACAGTGAAGTACGGAAACGAAGAACTCATTGCTTCTTTCCGCGATGTACTACCACCGCCAGAACAACCCACTCCTGGTACCGTCAAGAGGAGAAAACCAGCAGCTTCGCCCCAAGCGACGCCAGCAGCAACAACACCAACTCCCGTATCGGCGCCTGTCAGTGTTCAGTCAGCCATAGCACCGCAGTTCGCGACCATCGTTCGCCTTGATGGTAACAAAATCAGCTGCGGAGATCTCGTGAGCCTCACCCCGAACAGTGCAGACGTCGTCTTCATTGTCCTGGAGCTCTATCAAGACGAGTTCGGCTTTGAGGTTCTCCTAAATGCTCAGAAGTGCCAGTTTTCAGATGGTGTCGCCGTTCGCCTTCTAGCAAACTTCAGGCTGACCTGCCCAGCGTCCGCGGTACACACACTTCAGGACACTAAACTTTCGCCCCAGTTAAAGAAGGCGGTCCTGGAAATCCGACAAGGAGCCATCCTGCGGCTGTCCCAGTCCCTGCAACTACACATGGCCAACCGCGCCTATCAGCTTCAAGTTCGGCGGTACGACTTGGCAGCCAAGCTCCACTGCGAGATCCACAGAGGAATGTCTTCCAAGGCAGCTCGCACCTTCGTCATCAAAATGGGCCCAGCTGATCTTCGCCACGATCTTGAATTACTTGGGTTAGCGGTTGACAACAATTTCAAGGTGGAGAAATCGAAGAATCGACTCCACGGTCTCGACCCCTGCTTGGTGAAAAGTGGGACGTTAAGCTTAAACAAGACGACCGCTACTTCTACGCAACCTTCGCCGAGTTTGCCCTGGACCTGCCGTCACGATCCCTCCTCGTGAAGATCAAGTTCGCAGAGTCCACCTGTTCGTTTCGCCAAAACAGCTACCGCCAAGACACTGCTGCCGACTGTTGCTGATTGTTCAGTAATTGGTAAACTATCTTCGTTTGCCTCACAAACGGCTTTTTTAAAAGCCACCAAATGTAATAAGTCATGACCAACAGAACAGAAACTCTTTCTCTCTCCCTGAAATGCCAACGTTATCATCGCCAATCAAGAAAGAAAAACAGAACGCGCTTGATAATTTCTATTTCTCTCAAGTCCGTAAATTTTCACCTTTCCACAAAATTGCACAGCGAGTCAATTGAAAACTTCTTTCATTCTAGCCGGAAAATTTTCACCATTCCATGACCAACAACATAAACAGCAAAGTATGATCTATTTCTCGCTCTCTGCTCGCTCTCTGTAGTTCAGACTACATGTATGGCCGTGATGTACTTTCTTGTTAGTCATTGTCAACGTCACAATGGCACTATCATCCTTTCCATACCCTGTCCCAGGCTCTTGGCCAAAAAGAACGAATCCACGTTAACTTAAAGGTGGAAGGTTGTTACTGCATCAATGAAACCCGAAATACTAGTCACAAATTCAGAGGTGCCAATGACCCTTTGTTTTGATAATACAGTGACTGACTGTACGAAGGTAAAAAAAAGCAGCGAATACAACATATTTGTTTTTTCGTATTACGGGGAATTGCTATCAATGTTCGCGATGTTGCTTAACTTATTGGCACAACCTTTGAACAGTATATATAATGTTTATTATTTTCCTTATATCTACAAACATCGTTTTGCTTTTTGAGACGATTTAAGCTGTTCTATTTACAGTCCGGTCATCACTAATTCTGATACTAGCGAAAGTTTCATACGCCTTTTCCCGGAGCTGTTCTCTCTGGCGATTCTCTTTTGTTTTCTCACGAATTTGATGTCTCGCTTCTTTCCTTGACAAATGGAGGTCAGTGGCTTTCTGTTTATAGTCTCTCTTCTCCAGGTCAGAAAGTTGTCGCCAGTCCTCTACCATGCTTTGAATTGATTAGAGGAACGTCATCCTTTCTGTTCGTCCAGGACTCTGATTGTTTTGCACTCTCTAGAAGCAATTTAAAGTAAAAACATCAGATCAGTATTATATTTTATATAAATTGTTTTAATGTTCAATAAATTCAGCTACCTTTTCTATATTCAAGACAAATACCACATTTGCCAGAATTCATTATCTCACTTATATTTTTCTTTCAGTCAACAAAAGTTAAAAAAATCAAACAAATGACATAAAATAAAATAAATGTAGAAATGATTTCATTTTATTGAAATTTCCATAATAAGTTTATTCAACTAACCTCTTTCAATTTCTCATTGAGAAATGCTGTCCAACCATTTGGTGGCTTTTTGGGGGAAACCATTGCGTCTTTTTTCTTCTTGTGAACTCTCATCTGAGATTTGTTACCACTTTCATTCACTGGGCCCTTTTCCACTTCTCTTATTGTTCTCTTCAGGGAAGCAAAACCAGAAATCTCTTTACTGAAACAAAGTACAATCAAATGTCAGCATGCAGATATTCTTTTACTGTTCTCAAGAAGTGATAATATGAGATTAGACTGGGATCATGACCTGCATGCTTGATTATATCTTGGCATTATTACAAGGAAAAAGATTCTGATCATTTACCAAATTTTTGTAGCCGGTATGATGTTATGACAAGAAATTAGATTCTGATCATGAAATAGAGCATTACCTAAATCGTAACCGTTCTACATACTGCTGCATTACACCACATGCACCTGTCGACAAAGCTGCAAGAGGGGTCAAGTTTACTGCATGCTCTTCTACGTTGGGTGGAATTCTTTCTTTTACTGCCCACTCAATCTGATGAAGCTTGGTTTCACAACTGTCCATCCCCTTTGGTAGGCCATCACCAAATCACTGTTAAGCTTTGAGCAATCTCTTTTGACCTCATCTTCTGAACACACTAGATAACATCTTTCATGAGGTAGGTTCTCTTTTGACATTGAAATAACTCTTCCACCATTTTGTTCCACTTTCTCTGTAAATTTCTTCTGTGTTGATCCTAAAACCACACATACACATACATAATTCATATAAAATCATATGTTGTTGCTGTTCTTGTTCATGCAAAAATTTTAAAAAAAGATATGACATGTGATCAATATTATTATTGCAGGAGACCACACCCCCTGACTTTACACTTTTCTATTTAATCTTTGAGC